GTTTATGACATCTAAAATGCAATCCTAAATTACCTGATGTACAAAAAACAGGAAAATGTGACCTATTTTTATAGGAATTGACAGTCAAGACACCAGCCAGGAAATGAGCCAGATATTGGAAATGTTCAACAAATACATATTTTTAAAGTTTTTGCAGAAAACTTGCTATGTTGCCCAAGCTAGTCTTGAACTCTTGGCCTCAAGTGATTCTCCCGCCTGTCTCCCAAAGTACTGGGATTACAAGCAAGAGTCACCACTGTCAATAAATATCTTTTAAAGCAGCTATTATAATATATATTCTCAATAAGCTAAAGGAAAACACATTTAAAATTATTTGGAGAATGATGGAAATCAAAACATTTGCAATCTTGAAGGTAGTGATAATTCCACAAGGAAATACATATGTAAAAAACTGACATAATTGTACATCTTAAATACATGTAGCCTACTATAGATTAAAAAAAAAAGTAACATTAATCACAACTGTACCAAACAAAAAGCAAATGTTATTATGACCATTTTACAAATTAGGAGACTGGAGTTCAGAATGATTAGGTACTAGCCAAATATCACAAAGTTAATCAGGTCCAGCATTCTAATGAAGATTCTTAAATATCAAAGACTATAATATTACTTCTTTATCTGAGAAAACAATACAGCCTTAACTCTAATTCATAAGATTTTTAAGCAGGATTAACCAAAGTATGCCTCTGAAACATTTTAAACTCATATGAGATAGGTAAAATATTACAGCATGCATTTTATACCACCAACTATATACTATTACTTTCCTACTAAATTGAAAAAAATTAGTAACAAATTCCAGAGGAAATATGCAGCAGTGAGCATAAACTGCATTTCAACCTTTCCTTTTTTCATACTGCAAGCCTAAGAAGTACAAAAGCAGCATTATATAATGATTATACTATGTGGGGCTAATCCACTGGTAAAATTCATAGAAGATATATGATTACCCATAGTATTTTCAAAACCCAAAGTTTATTTTAGTTTCTATAAAACAAAACCATAGCCGGGCTCGGTGGCTCAGCCTGTAATCCCATGCCTTTGGGAGGCTGAGGTGAGTGGATTGCCTGAGCCCGCGGGTTCAGGACCCGCCTGGGCAGCAAGACCTCATCTCTACAATAAATAAATTTAAAAAAATCTGCCGGGCGTGGTAGCACATGCCTGCTAATTCCGGCTACTTGGAAGGCTGAGGCGGAAGGATCACTGGAGCCCTGCAGGTCGAGGCTGCGGTGGCCGGAAGCGGCCACTGCACTCCAGTCTGGGCGACAGAGTGAGACGCCAACTCAAAAAAAACCCCAAAAAAACAAAAACAACATAGGCCGAGGTGAGTGAATTGCCTGAGACCCACCTGGGCAACTTGACGAGACCTCATCTCTACAATAAATAAAAAAAAAATTAGCCAGGTATGGTAGCATGTGCCTGTAGTTCCGGCTACCTGGAAGGCTGAGGCGGAAGGATTGCCAGAGCCCAGCAGGTCGAGGCTGCGGTGGCCGGGAGCGTGCCACTGAACTCCAGTCTGGGCGACAGAGTGAGACTCCAACTCAAAAAAACCCAAAAAACAAAAACAAAACCATAGGTGGGTACGGTGGCTCACGCCTGCAATCTCAACACTTTGGGAGGCAGAGACAAGAGGATTGCCTAAGCCCAGGGGTTCAAGACCAGTCTGGGCAACTTGGCGAGAACTTGTCTCTACAATAAATAAAAAGAAAGTATCTAGGTATGGTGGCTCAAGCCTGTGGTTCCAGCTACTTGGAAGGCTGAGGTATAAGGACTGCCTGAGTCCAGCAGTTTGAGGCTGCAGTGGCTGTGAGCCTGCCATTGCACTCCAGCTGGGACAAAAGAGTGAGACTCCAATTCAAAACAAAACAAAACTATGCACTTGTTTCAACAGATGTTACAGAAGAGTATTTCATTACCTGGATATGGCCACAATATGTTGAATAATAAAAGCAGCGAATAAAAAGTACTAATGTATTATTTTGTTTGTTTTAAAAGTATATGCACCCATTTTAAAAAGATTAAAAGGATATACAATGTATATAAAAAAATTTAAAGAACAGCCAGGTGCAGTGACTCACACCTGTACTTTGAGATGCAGGGGTGAGAGAACTGCCTGAGCCCAGGAGTTTGAGGCTAGCCTGGGCAACTTGGCGAAATCTCATCTCTACAACACTTTTTTTTTTTTGAGTCAGAATCCCACTCTGTCGCCCAGGCTGGAGTGCAGTGGCACCCGCAGGCGTGCACTACCATGCCCAGCTAATTTTTTTTAATTGTAGAGATGAGGTCTCACCAAGTGTCCAGGCTGATTTCAAACCTGTGGGCTCAGGCAATGGTCTCACCTGGCCTCCTAAAGAGCTGGGATTATAGGAGTGAGCCACCGTGCCTGGACTCTACATTTTTTTTTAAATTAGTTAGGCATGGTGGCATGCGCTTATAGTTCCAGCTCCTTGGAAGGCTGAGGTGGAAGGATCATCTGAGCCAAGGAGGTTGAGGCTGTGGTAGACCAGCCTGGGTGACACATTGATACTTTGACTCAAAAATAAATTGTGTGTGTGTGTGTGTGTGTGTGTGTGTGTGTGTGTGTGTGTGTGTGTGTGTGTGTTCATATATATATATGAACAATAATATTATTTATATTATTGCTTCTCTGGATTTTCCAAATTTTCTATAATAAATAATCAGTGTTTTTAAAATCTGTATAAAAGCTATTATTTTTTTTAAGAGAGGAAGCAGAATTTATTAAAAGAACAGAAAAGCTCCCACAGTGGGAGGGGACCCAAGGGGGTTGCCCAAAAGCTATTATTTCAAAGTGTGACAATAAATAAATGGGTCTCCACTTCCCAGGATGAATCATCTTTGCTTCCTATTTAAACCCATAGGAGATAGGTAACATATTGGTGCATGGCTATTATACCACTAATTACATATTATTGCTTTCTTACTAAACTCAAAAACAACTTTCTTTTTTTTTTAATTGTATTTACTTAGAAGCATTCAGAATGTCAACAAAACAGCTGCAACTTTACAGAGTGGTATTCAGTTAACAGAACAATTATTTTGTATAAGCTGCATCAGAGACAACTGAAGATGAGAAAACTACCATTCCCATATTTAACTAATTTGTGCTGTGCACCAACAAGAACCTGCTTTACATTTCCATGCCAATTTACAACCCCCATACTGTACCAGGCAAGGTTAGTGGCTATTGAAAATACCACCGGGACAGGGCTATCTAAAGACACATTCGGTAGTGTGTTAACTATACAAAAAAAAGACACTGTACAGTTTAAAAACAAATCTTACACAGCCTTACATTTCAATTTTTTTCTTTAAAAGGAATGAGTTGTGTACAGGGGGGTTAAATGCTTTATAGACAAGAAAAAAAAACTGCGCTAGAACCAACTTATTCATCATCATCATCATCTTCGTCTTCTTCCTCTTCCTCGTCCTATTCGTCCTCCTCATCTTCCTCCTCTTCCTTCTTTTTCTTGCTCTTTTCCACCTTGACGACTCCCTTTTTTGGCACATCGGGCTTGCCTTTGGCTCGGAAAGCGGCAATATCCTTTTCGTATTTCTCCTTCAGCTTCGTGGCCTTCTTCTTGTAAGGCTGCTTGTCATCCGCAGCAGTGTTACTCCACGTCTCTCCCAGTTTCTTTGCGACATCCCCGATTGACAGGCCGGGGTGCTCTCCTTTGATTTTGGGGCGATACTCAGAACAGAACAAGAAGAAGGCCGAGGAGGGAGGCCTCTTGGGAGCATTGGGATCCTTGAACTTCTTTTTTGTTTCCCCTTTGGGAGGGATATAGGTTTTCATTTCTCTTTCGTAACAGGCCTTGTCGGCCTTTGCCATGTCTTCAAATGTTCCCTTCTCTTTAGCAGACATGGTCTTCCACCTCTCTGAGCACTTCTTAGAAAACTATGAGAAATTGACGGAAGCATCCGGGTGCTTCTTCTTGTGCTCCTCCCGGCAAGTTTGCACAAAGAATGCGTATGATGACATTTTGCCCCTCAGCTTCTTGGGATCTCCTTTGCCCATGTTCAGTTATTTTTCCTCCGCGCGGCACCGAGTCGCCCAGTGTCCGTCCGTCTATCGCCTGCCCCGGGCGCTGTCTCTATGGAGCTCAATGTACTTGAAAAACAATTTTCTAAAATAAATGAGTAGTGTTTTTATTTTTATTTTATTTATTTATTATTTTTGAGTTGGAGTCTCACTCTGTCGCCCAGACTGGAGTGCAGTGGCCGCTCCCGGCCACCGCAGCCTCAACCTGCTGGGCTCCGGCGATCCTTCCGCCTCAGCCTTCCGAGTAGCTGGAAATTACAGGCATGCGCTACCACACCCGGTTGATTTTTTTGATTT